AGTTCAAGTTTTCCTGAAACATCTTCACGTGCATCGCCTGACTTATCTGAGTTCCCTTTCAGTTAGAAATACTCCATGTCTGTCTTATTTATCTTGCTCTCACAAAACGCCTGTGATACAGCCTTTCTTAGAAGAGAGGTCTGTGATTTTTCTAAGCCGCTGACACCCATTTTGCACATTTTGAGGCACAGCTACAGGTGACAAACAGCGATGCCACAAGGACTGCCTAGCTGGCTGGCTGTACAATGATCTCCAGTTCAAAGATGTAAAATGTAGAAGAAAAAACTGTGTCTCAGGACTGAAGGGGCACCGTTCTCCTGGTTCATCCCCATCGCTCCCTTGGCAGTGGGTCTCCCACCTGGGCAACCAACACTTCTGTCCGTGGGCTTCAGGCTCTCCTCCCCAGATGAAACTCTTCAGGGTGATCCCATGCATGCAGCTGAAGACAGGCTGGCAATCTGTTTGCAGAACTAGAAGAAGAATTAAGCAAGTGGCTAAAATGTTAGTAACCTGATGGAACGAATTATCACTGATTTGCAGTCGCATGGGCTCGATAATGGTATCTGTGACTTTCAAGCCAGGCACCCCGTGTGTTCTCACACTTGCAGGGAACGAAAAGCCCTCTGCTTCCAGCTTCCCTTCTGACCTGCTGTTTGTTCCCCCTGCTCTTTGGAATTTCTCTACGAAAAGTGTACATGAAGGAGTAAGAGTTTAGAGTCAGAAAGACCTGCGTTTTAATTTCTGTGACTCTGGGCACATTACTGAACCTCAGAGAACCTCAGTTTCCTAATGGAAGTAAATACTGCAAATACTGCTTTGCTCATTGGGTGTTGGTTGTAAGATTCTTGCCCTTTTTTTTTTTTAGATAATATGTAAATGTGTCTCCCCTCACGGTGGCTGGTATATTAGATCTCAATAAATATGTCATATTTTCTCCCTCTTCTCTGTCTTTTAAAAATAGATTTCTGTCAGACTCTGAGGAGGAACATTAAAATTAATGATCAAATAAGAATTTTTGAATTATTTATAGTTTTTAGTAATCTATATTTAAAAAAAATTTATTGGAATATAGTTGCTTTACAAGGTTGTGTTGATTTCTACTGTACAACAAAGTGAATCAGCTATACGTATACATATATCCCCTTTTTTGGATTTCCTTCCCATTTAGGTCACCACAGAGCACTGAGTAGAGTTCCCTGTGCTATACAGTAGGTTCTCATTAGTTATCAGTAATCTATACTGATATACATTTCCATGTCCCAACTTTCATGTTATGAACGAGAAATTAATATCTTTTTTCCAGCATGCCAGATTCTACCTCTGCAATACATACTCTACTCTTACTGAACATATAAGATATGGGATAATACCTAGAAACACATAACAAGGTTTGAGGAAACTATATGGTTGGAAATGATTAAAAGACTGCTTTTGACCTACTCTACCATTTTTTACAGAGTCTTATTTATTATTGCCTCTAGGTATCTCCCAAGTCTGACCTTCAGCCCCCTACTCTTGTCTTTATTTGTGCTTTGTACAATGAATGATTTGAAGTTTTATTTTCACATAAAAATATTCAGGTTCAGAGTCCTAACTCCACCATGTATTCAGGTATGTTACCATGGGCAAGTTGCTTAACCTCTGTAAGCTTCAGCTTCCTCATCTGTCAATGGTGATGGTGATCCTTGTCTCACAGAAGTGTTGCAAGTAAATGATGTAATGTATTGGGACCACTTAGCTCAGATTTGGATATAAATAGAATGCACTTTGTGGTGGCGGCTATGGTTACTAATAATTTTCCTAAGTCATGACTGTTAGGTTTTGCAGGTGATTTCGATATCTATGTTTCTGTTCTTCCTTCATGTCCTTAATTTTCCAATTTTTTCCCTAGTCGATGATCCTAAAACAAACCTCGCCTTTAAATTTTAATATTGATAATTTGCTGCCACCTACAGGCTAATACGAAAAAAGCAGAACGTGTAATTACCACTTTCTTAGGCTGAGTATAAAATCCCAAGGTCATCTTGGAGGTCCCGAAGCTAACTGTGGACAACCCCAGAACGCCCTTTTCTGAGATTCTTATTTTCCCTGGTAGCTCAACTAAATTCTTGATTAATATCAGAATCCTCTTAGATTCTTTCTGGAATTGGGCAGTTACGCGTAAAGCATTATTAGTAATCAGATATTGCATCTTCCCCCATAAGTAGATCTGCAAAACAGTGTTTATTAAAAAGTGTGAAAGAAGCTTTGCTATTTAAGGCATGGTTTAGCACCTGAGTTTTTTGTTTGTTTATTTATTTATTTGGCTGCATCGGGTCCTGGTTGCGGCACCCAGGCTCTCGGTAGTGGTGTGCAGGCTCTAGAGCGCGCAGGCTTGGTTGCCCTGCGGCATGTGGGATCTTAGTTCCCTGACCGGGGATCAAACCTGCATCCCCTGCATTGGAAGGCAGATTCTTAACCATGGACCACCAGGGAAGTCCCAGCACCTGAGTTTTCTTGCGCTTTGTTGGGTCCTGTCCTAGTTGGAGAACTTGAGAGGGTCTGAGCAAAACATTAAAAATAAAATAATGTTTGAAATGAACTCTGTTGTGGTTCTTATTCTCTTGCCTCATACGATTGCTGCCTGTATGCTTGTATCCCATCCTCAGTCTCACGCTCCTTTGTCGAATAATCTGGTATAGGGCATACATTAGCAAGCGCACATGGACCCTCCTCAGTGGTTTCTGGCCGTACATAGCACGGCACCGTGTCCGCAGTTTGATATGACTCAAGCTGGAGTAAGAGGTTCCAGTGCCAGATAGCAGGGGATGGGGCCAGTGAGGCTTGTGTGCTAAACTACGTGGTCGAAGTTGCTTTGAAAACGACAAGGAGCTACTAAAGGAACCATTTTAAGCTGGAGAGTGACATGATGAGATTTCTATCAGTACTTGGGCAATCTGCTTGAAGATATTTTAGAGGGGACCCACAGAAGCAGCTATTCATGGAGGCTTTCGATCCACTGATTGTACCTGTCACGTATTGTCTTTGCATGAGAGGACTTGAAGGAGATCCTATTTGCCACTCTAGTTTGTGGTTTTTGAATTGTTTTATTTGTGTTACTTTTATGCCTTTAACAATTCTGTAAACACCTTTCAGGTAGGCACTGTTATGCTACTAATTATTGTTATTGTAATTATCAACTGCTCTTATGCAGTTAATATACAATAGATCATGTGCAAGTGTCTGTACCTTTTACACAATGTACGTACGTATACCCCTCCCGGGCTTGCCATGGCGCTGGCTGCTTGTCAAACAGCGTGCTCGTTCTCTGTCGGTCTTCCTCTCTGCCTGCCTCTTAAGTCTGTCATCTGCCACCTGGCATCCTGCTTTGGGCGGATGCCACATTGCCACTGTGGTGAAACCAGCTCTTCCCAGAAGTGGACGTGAGGGCTGGTGGGGAACAGTGTGGTCCCTGGAATGCTCGCTGGCAGAAAGAGGCAAAGAGCAGGAAGAGGAGGAGACCTTTTCCTGGATCCCCGTGCAAAAAAGCTGTTGCCAGAGGAGACTGTGAACGCCCACAGCTGGGGCATGGGAATGGGTGGCAGGACTGCGACCAGGGTAAGGCGAGCGAGCCCTCGCCTCAGGTGTAGAATTTAAGGGGGCATCGAAAAGCCCTGCAATCAAGATGAGTATTATGTTAATGCGGTGTTTTAAGAAGATTAAAATGGAAGGAATCCATGATGAACAACATACTAGCATTTTAAATAAAGACGAGATCAGTAACAGTGCTATGAAAAGCCACCTTTGGAGCCTGAGGCAAAAGGAAAAATCAACCATACTGAGCCTGTCTATTTAAAAATTTGGTACTTTGTTCACCGTGGATTCTTTGAATTAACTTTGATTTTTAAAAAATATTACATTAAAATATTAAAATAATTTATATTGAGGTTTTTTAGTGCCCTCTTAAATTTATCACCCAAGGTTCAGGGGCCTCACTGCCCACGCTCTTAGCCTTGTACTTGGTTGGTTGGGCAGAAGAGAGGGGAGACTTGCCGAGAGGCAGGTGGCTTCCTGCCTACTCTCTGAAAATACCGAGTTCTTCCTGATGGATGAGTAGACATTGGCTCTATTCCAGGGCAATGGGTGTGGCAGGATTGGTCATAAATAGTGTTTTGGTAGAAATATTATGTGGGTGTTGGTCATTTCTCTGAGTATATAATTTAGGATTTTTAAAAGGGTATCTGGATGAGATAGATATTTTTAAAAAGCTACAAGAAGGTGTCTCCTACTTCCACTAACTAAGGGAAAGAAATGGAATAAAATTTCTTTAGATAGTTCTTCATTGAGGCTGTTAAGAGTTGAATCTGATTAGTAGAGGAAGCTAAAGACATTTACAGTCTCCTTCCTTTGGTTACTATGAATTATTAGTCATGCTGATTGACTAGTTAAGCATTTAAGGTCTTGGGAAGATCCCATTCTTGGCCTCTTAACTCTTCTGCTTTGCAGTAAGTATATTGTGACTGGAGAAATGAACAGAAGCAGAGAGGGTGCTGTATTTTTTTTTTTTTTTTTTTTTTTGCTGCGGTATGCGGCCCTCTCACTGTTGTGGCCTCTCCCGTTGCGGAGCACAGGCTCCGGACGCTCAGGCTCAGCGGCCATAGCGCATGAGCCCAGCCGCTCCGTGGCATGTGGGATCTTCCCGGACCGGGGCACGAACCCGTGTCCCCTGCATCGGCAGGCGGACTCGCAACCACTGCGCCACCAGGGAAGCCCGGCGCTGCATTTTTTAAATTCATATTTTGGTAGGCTGTCATTTGGTGGTTTTTAGTGGTTAGGTCAGACTTTTTTTTTTTGGTGTGTTCCTGGGACAGCCACATCATTTGAAGGTGTAGAAAAATGAGGTGTGGCTCTAACCTAATTGGCTTTATTCTGGCTGGGGCAGTGGAGGAGCCCAAAGGAGAATTTTACTTAGCTTTCATACCTTACAGACTTTTTTTTTTTTTTTTGAAATCTCCAACAAGGTCTACTGAGAACAGACCCAGTACCCGAGGAAGGAGAAGATGTTGTTGCCACTATCAGTGCCACTGAGACCCTATCAGAGGAGGAGAGAGAAGAGCTAAGAAGAGAACTTGCAAAGGTAAAGGCGCAATCCTTCTGGAACTTCATGTTTTGCACTTACTATATTGTCTTCTGTTTTTCTAAAGCACATGGTAATATTGTAGACTCAGTTTCAGGGCAGAGAAAGCAACATGTGTTTACTCTCCTAGAGATCTTGAGTGGGGGAGAGGAGATGAGGGAGTGTGAGATCAGTTGGTTTTTATATGAGGGAAGGTAGGTACAGGTAAAGTGGATCTGAGAAGTAGGGTGTGAAGTGGGAAATGGATGAGGGCTACTAGTGAATATCTTCTAGGTGACCTCACTAACCCCGATGCGCTTGGCTTTTCAGCTGCTTCACTGACTTTTTTCTCCCCTTGGCAGTGTTGTGGATAGAGGTACTTTGAACCTTCTTTCCATACCTTCCTCTCTTTTTTTTTTTCCTTAAAATCAACCATTGTAAAGTGTACAGTTCAGTGGCATTCAGCATATTCACAATGCTGTGCAATTATCATCTCTATCTAGCTCCAAACATTTTTAGCACATCCAGACGAGACCTCATATCACTAAGCTGGCATCCCGTTTTCCCTTCCTTAGCCCCTGGTGACAATTAATCTGCTTTCTCTCTCTATGGATTTACCTATTCTGAATATTTCATTTAAATGGAATCACATATCATGTGACTTTTGGTATCTGGCTTTTATCATTTAGTATAATGTTTTTGAGGTTCATCCTTGTTGAGCTTGTATTGGTACTTCACTGCTTTTTTTGTGGCTGAATAACATTCCATTGTATTTATCTTCTGTATTTTGTTTATCCGTTCATCTGTTGATGGACATTTGGGTGGTTTCCAGCTTTTGACTATTGTAGATACTGAGCTAAGGGATATTTGTGGAAAACTACTTGTTCGAATACCTATTTCTAATTCCTTTGGGATATACCCAGAAGTAGAATTGCTCGTCACATGGTAATTCCATGGGTAACTTTTTTTTCAGACCTGCCAGACTGTTTTCACAGCAGGGACACCGTTTCACATCTCCATCAGCAACTTCTGTACATCCTTGCCAACATTTTTTATTTTCTGTCCTTTTGACTATAGCCATCTTAGTGAGTGTAAAGTGGTATCTCATTGTGGTTTTGATTTGTATTTCACTAATGACGAATGATATTGAGCATCTTTTCATGTGCTTATTAGTCGTTTATATGCCTTCTTTGGAGAAATGTCTATTCAAACCTCTGCCATGTTCTTAAAACGTTATTTGCCTTTTTGTTGTTGAGATGTAAGAGCTCTTCCTATATCCTGGATACTAGACCCTGATCAGAAATGTAATTTGCAAACATTTTCTCCCATTCCATACATTGTCCTTTTACTTTCTTCATAGTGTCTTTTAAAAAAAAACTTATTTATTTGGCTGTGCTGGATCTTAGTTGCGGCGTGCGGGATCTTTAGTTGCATCATGCAAACTCTTAGTTGCAGCATGTGGGATCTAATTCCTTGACCAGGGATCAAACCTGGGGCCCCTGCATTGGGGGCACAGAGTCTTAGCCACTGGACCACCAGGGAGGTCCCTCTTCATAGTGTTTTAATGCATGAAGGTTTTAAAGTCTGATGAAGTCCAGTTTATTTTTTCTCTAGTTGCTTGTCCTTTTGGCATTACATCTAAGAATCCATTTCCCAAACTCAAGTCATGAAGATTTACACTATGTTTTCTTCTAAAACTTCTCTCCTATATATAAGCCTGTGATCCATTTTGAGTTAATTTTTGTGTATGGTTTGTGGTAGGGTTCAACTTAATTCTTTCACATGTGACTTTAGTTTTGTTAGCACCATTTGTTGAGAGATTATCCTCAGTGAATGCTCTTGGCGTTCTTGTCAAAAATCATTTCACATAGATGTAAAGGTTTCTTTCTGGACTCTCAATTCTGATATATTCATCTATATGTCTGTCCTTCTGAGTGTACCACACTCTTTTGATTACTATAGCTCTGTAGTAAGTTTTGAAATCGAGAAGTGTGACTTTTTCACCTTTTTCTTCTTTTTCAAAATTGTTATTTAAGGTCTCTTGCAATTCTATATGAATTTAGAATCTACTTTTCTACCCACAAAAAAATGCCATTGGGATTTTGATAGGACTTTTATTGAATCTGAGGATTGATTTGGGGGAGTATTGCCACCTTAACAATATTCAATCTTACACTCCATGAATGTGGAGTGTTTTTTCATTTGTTTAGATCTTCTTTAATTCCTTTTAGCAATGTTTTATAGTTTTCAGTGTACAAATTTTATACTTCCTTAGTTAACCTTATATTGAAGTATTTTATTCTTTTTGATGTGATTATAAATGGAATTTTCTTAATTTACTTTTCAGATTTTTCATTGCTACTGTATAGAAATACAGCTGAAGTTTCCATGTTAATCTTGTATACTGCAACTTTGCTGAATTTGCTTATTAGCTCTAATAGATTTTTTGTGCATTATTTAAGAATTTTCTATATATAAGATAATGCAGTTATATCTTATATTTTCTGCAGTTAAAGGTCGTTTTACTCTTCCTTTCCATTTTAGATGCCTTTATTTATTTTTCTTCCCTATCGATCTGGATGAAACCTCAGTGCTACGTTGATTAGCAGCGGTGACAGTGGGCATCCCTGTCTTGTTCCTAATCTTGGGGGAAATGCTTTCAATATTTCCCCATTCAGTATGGTGATAGCTTTTGTTTTTTTTATAAATGCACTTATTCATGTTGAGGAAGTTCCCTTCTCTTCCTAGTTTGTTCAGTGTTTTTTTCATGAAAGGGTGTTGGGTTTTGTCAAATGCTTTTCTGCACCTTATTAAGATGATCATGTGTTCATCTTAATTCAATTAATATGGTATATTACATTGATTGATTTTCATATGTTGGATCATCCTTGCATTCCTAGGATAAATCCCACTTTATCCTAGGTGTATGTATTCTAGGTCATGGTGTATAATCCTTTTAATATGCTTCTGGATTTGGTTTGCTAGTATTTTGCTGAGTATTTTTGCACCTATATTCATGGGAGGGATTGACTTGAAGTTTTCTTGTGATATCTTTGTCTGGCTTTTGTATCATAGTAATGGTTGGCCTCTTGGAATGAGTTAGGAAGTTTTCCATTCTCTTCTGTTTAGTGGAAGAATTTGAGAAGAATTGGCCTTATTTCTTCTTTGTTTGGTAGAATTCACCAGTGAAGCCTTCTGGTCTTGGACTTTTCTTTGTTGGAAGATTTTTGATTATTCGTGCAATTGCTTTACATGTTATAGATATGTTCAGATTGTCTATTTCTTCTTGGGTCAGTTTTGACCATTTGTGAATTTCTAGGATTGCATCCATTTCATTTAGATTATCTAGTTTGTTGGCATACAATTGTTCATAATATTTTCTTATAATCCTTTTTATTTCTATAAGGTTGGTAGTAGTGTCACCACTTATACTTCTGATTTTAGTTACTTGCATCTTCTCTTTTTTTTTTTCTCTGTCAGTCTAGCTAAAGGTTTGTCAATTTTGTTGACCTTTTCAAGGAACAGCCTTTGACATCATTGATTTTTTGCTATTGTTTTTCTATTCTCTATTTTGCTTATATTTAATCTTTAGTATTCTCTTTTGTTAGATTTGGGTTTAGTTTACACTTCTTTTTCTAGATCTGTAAGGGTGTAGAGTTAGGTTCTTGATTTGAAATCCTCTTTATTAATGTAGGCATTTGCAGCTATAAATTTTCCTCTGAGCACTACTCCTACTACTTCTCATAAGTTTTAATATGCTGTGTGTTTGTTTTCATTTGTCTCAAGGTATTTTGTAATTTCCTTTGTGATTTCTTCTTTGACTCATTGGTGGTTTAAGAGTGTGCTGTTTAATTTTGATACATTTATGAATTTTCCAATTTTCATTTTGTTTTTGATTTCTAGTTTCATTCCATTATGGTTGATAAAGATATTTGGTATGATTTTAAATTTACTGAGACTTGTTTTGTTGCCTAATATATGCTCTGTCCTGGAGAATGTTCCATGTACATTTGAGAAGAAGGTGTATTCTACTGTTTTTGGGTGAGGTGTTCTATTTATGTATGTTAGCTCTAGTTGGTTTATAGTGTTGTTCAAGTTTCCTGTTTCTTTTTCACTTATCTGTTTGTTCAATCCACTTTTTTTACATCAGATTTTATAAACTAGGTGGGGATAGGATGGGCAAGGCAGATTGGTGATAAGCCCTACGAGGAGAGTAAGAATTAAAAATTTTGAGTATGTGGTACATGCCTAATGTTGTTATTTTGAAAAGATAAAACAAAAATACTTTTTCCACAAGCTATTTATGTTTAGTGCAGAAACAAAAAAAAATCAAAGAAAATTAAAATTACCTACAGTGTAAAAGATTTAGATTATCTGTTTCCAGATTTTTGCTATCTATGTATTGCTATAACATATTTCAGTATTTTATGAAGGCATCAGAATACACATCTGTAACTTTTTTTCACTTAACTGAATTTCAAAAAAAAATTTGTGCCAGTAAATAATCTTCTAAAACACCATTTTAAATTGCTGCATAGCCCATTTTTTAATTGCTTCAAGCTCATTTTTTTTTTTTTTTTTGTGCGGTACGCGGGCCTCTAACTGTTGTGGCCTCTCCCATTGCGGAGCACAGGCTCCGGACGCGCAGGCTCAGCGGCCATGGCTCACGGGCCCAGCCCCTCCGCGGCATGTGGGATCTTCCCAGACTGGGGCACGAACCCGTGTTCCCTGCATCGGCAGGCGGACTCTGAATCACTGCGCCACCAGGGAAGCCCTTCAAGCTCATTTTTAGTTAATGGGCATATTATTTATAAACATTTAGTTGTTTCCCTTTTTTGCTATTATGAACAGTATTTTGATGGAAGTACTTACATATAATCCTTTAGGCACCTCTTTAATTAGTTCTTTAGAATAAATTCCTAGAAGTAGAATCCCTGGGTCTACTGGGTTTTAAGGTCACAGAGTCATTCCCATGTACACCAACAAGGCCAAAATGCTATCCAGAAGATTTCTCATAGTATGTGAGAGAGTAGTTTTTCCAAATCCTTGCCTGCTCTCAGTATAATTATGTCATTATCAGTAATATTAACTTAACAGTAATAGCTCTTAATATAGGTCTAAATCTCCCAATAGATTATGTAATGTTATTTAACAAATGAAGTTATCAGACATATGATATGTAAACGTTTTCCCCCATTCTGTGTGTTTTCCTTTTCACTTTCTTTTCACCCTTTGACGCACAGAAGTTTCTAATTTTGATGAAGTTGAATTTATCTGTTTTTCCTTTGGTGATTTGGGCTTTAGTTGTCACATGTCAGGAACCATTGCCTAATCCAAGATTATGGAGATTAAGGTCATAAGATAATGCACTGCAGCACTGAGTCTTGTGTCCAGGTCTTCATGAACTCTGATGCATGTGCATTTATCCTTTTATTTGTATAGTATTCATGTTTTATCAGAAGTTTATTCAATTTTTCTGAAAACTCCATGAGATATGGCAGATATACTATTACTTTACCTCATATCATATATGACATTGTGATATCACAGTATTATAATAATCATGATATCATAATAATGATAATAAGATATAATAAAATTATTTACATTTAAAGAAAATGGTAAGGTTCAGTTTTTTTACACTAGAGTCACTGCTTGAAATAGTTATAGAAATTAAATAAAATGGAGATAAAAAACATTAGTTTTTTTTACTCCTTCTTGAGATATAATTTACATGCCATCAAATTCATCCTTTTAAAGTATACAGTTCCTTCATTTATATTTATTCACAAGGTTATACAACTATCACTACTACCTAATTCCAGAGCATTTTCATCACCCCGGAAAGGAACCCTGTTCCCATTAGCGTTCACTCCCAATCTTCCCTCTCCCCAGTCTCTGGTAACCACTAATCTACTTTCTATTTCTATAGATTTGTCTATTCTGGGCATTTCCTATAAATGGAATCAAACAACATGTGGTCTTTTGTGACAGGCTTCTTTCACTTAGTATAATGTTTCCAAGGTTGACCCATGTTGCAATCATATCAGTGCTTCCATTCCTTTTTATGGCTGAATAATATTCTGTTGTATAGGTATATACCACATTTTGTTTATTCATTCATCAGTTGTTGGACATTTAGATTGTTTCTACTTTTTGGCTATTATGAATCATGCTACTGTGAACATTCATGTACAGGTTTTTGTTTGAACATAATGTTTTCAGTTCTCTTATTATATACCTAAGAATGGAATTTCTGGGTCATATGGTAACTCCATGTTTAACTTTTTGAGGAACTATCGAACTGTTTTGCTGCCAAACTGCACAATTTTACATTCCCACCAGCAATGTATGAGGGTTCCAATTTCTCTACATCCTTGTCAGCACTTGTTATTGTTTGTCTTTTTGATTACAGCCATCCTAGTGGGGGTGAAGTAGTATCTCATTTGCACTTCTCTAATTACTAATGAATGGTATTGGCCATCTTTTCATATGATTATTGGTCATTTATATATCTTCTTTGGCAGAATGTCTATTTAAATCCATTGTCCATTTTAATTGGATTATTTGCCTTTCTGTTACTGAGTTGTAAGTGCTCTTTATGTATTTTGCATACTAGACCCTTATCAGATATATAATTTGTAAGTATTTTCCCCATTCTTTTAGTTGTCTCTTTACTTTCATGATGCTGTCCTTTGAAACACATCAGTTTTAAATTTTGAGGATGTCAATTTATCTATTTTTTCTTTGGTTGCTTGTGCTTGAGGTCTCATATCTAAGAGATGCAGCCTAATCCGAGGTTATTAAGATTTACCTCTGTGTTTTCTTCTAAGAGTTTTATTGTTTAGCTTTTCCATTTAGATTTCTGATCTATCTTCATTTTTATATATGGTCTGACTTAGGGATCCAACCTCATTCCTTTGCATATGGAAATTCAGTTGTCCCAGCACCATTTGTGGGAAAAAAACTACTCTTTTCCACTGACTTATCTTGGTACCTTGGTTGAAAATCAGTTGACCATAAATGTGCAGGTTTATTTCTGGACTCTTAATTCTACAACACAATCTTAATTACCATAGCTTTGTAGTAACTTTTCCACTCATTATTCCATAATTAAGGAATTATTACTACGGTATTCTGAGCTTGAGCTAGGTAGGTATGTTAGCAGCACAGTCAACAACAAAAGCAGGGAACGTGCTGGGTCATGTATTGTTCAGAAAGATTTACAGTGGCCTTTCTTTCTAACTTTCATTAGGGCAAGTGAATACCTCAGGGATGGGTCAAGGGGTAGAAAACGTAAACTTTAAGTCTGGTCTTTGAAGTATCTGAAATTTGGAGTTCAGGTAAAGAGAAATATTCGAAAGCTAACAATGTGCAATGAGAATTAGCCAGTAATCTGAGAAGTGGACTCAGAAGACCTGAGTTAAAATTCTGGTTCCTACATTATTAGTTTGGTGACTTAGGGCAAGTCATTTAATTTACTTGATTTTGAACCTTATTCATCACCGTTGCCCTTTTCTTCTCATATTCCACTTTGTCAATATACTTCTCAAACTGTGACTTCCCAAAAGGGTACAGTATGTGTGGTCCTGTCTCATAAGCACAGAGGATTATTTTTGTTATGGGCCTGTATTCTAATTAAGGCCATCTGAGAGTATGTTATTCTTTTTTTTTTTTTTTCTTTGGCAGCTGCAGCCACATCACATTTGATTTATCCTTCTTTCCTTTTGTTGAGTACTGTCAGTTCGCTTAACAATACTCTGTTGTTTTTACAGGCCATGTTGTCTTTGAGCTCATAGAAGTGTTGTATAGGTCAAGACTAAGCATATGGCTTTGCCACAAGCCAAGAGAAGCATTCTTCTAAGGGTCTTGAATATTAATGACTGTATGGTCGTCCCTCGGTATCTGCAGGGGGTTCATCCCCGGACCTCTGTGGATATCAAAATCCGCAGATGCTCAAGTCCCTTTTATAAAATGGTGTAGTATTTGCATAAAACCTATGCACGTCCTTCCATACGCTTTAAATCATCTCTCGATTACTTATAATACCTAAGGCAATGTAAATGCTATATAAGTACGATGTAAATGCTATGTAGATAGCTGCCGGCACGTGGCAAGTTCAGGTTTTGTTTTTATGGAACTTTTTTTTCCCGAATATTTTCAGTCTGCAGTTAGTTGCGTCTGTGGATGTGGAACCCGTGGATACAGAAGGCCAACTGTACTTTAGGGACCCAGTTTTTCAACTTCCTGGGACAAAAGTCTTTTCCACCAGGTGTCTCTTCCTCTCTGTGGGTCTGCCCTTTCCCTCTGTTATCCTGGCTTAGGCTTTTCCTCTACTCTGTAAGTCTTTTTTTTTTTTTTTTTTCCTTCATAGCTTCTGTTTATAGTTTTGGCCTCCTCAAGTATATTTAAGCTTCTGTAACATCTCAAAATCTCACTAAGCCCCACCTGTATTTCAGGGCTTCTTTATCCAAGCTTCTACTCTCAGTGTGATCATAGTTTCTCAAACTACGTTCTTTATATTTATTTATTTATTTATCTATCTATCTATCTATCTATCTATCTATTTATTTATTTATTTATTTTTGGCTGCATTGGGTCTTCGATGCTGTGCGCAGGCTTTCTCTAGTTCGGGTGAGCGGGGGCTACTCTTCGTTGCGGTGCGCAGGCTTCTCACTGCGGTGGCTTCTCTGGTTGCGGAGCACGGGCTCTAGGCGCGTGGGCTTCAGTAGTTGTGGCTCGTGGGCTTTAGAGCACAGGCTCAGTAGTTGTGGCGCACAGGCTTAGTTGCTCCGCGGCATGTGGGATCTTCCCAGACCAGGGCTTAAACCCGTGTCCCCTGCATTGGCAGGCGGATTCTTAACCACCGCGCCACCAGGGAAGCCCTTAAACTACATTCCTGAATGAGACTGGCTGGTGGCCACTTGATGGGTTGGCTGACCTTGGGTTGGGAGCCCATTTCTAACCACCAAGCTGAGGCTGGTCAGTCAGCATCAGAGGGTCCACACCTCTGCAGGACTCTCTGGGGGAGACAGTTTGGTTTATTTATGCTTGTGACTTTAGCAGGTACGGAGGCTGACAGTGTGAGCTCCGGTTTATACTAGAGTATAAACTCATATGAAATATGCAAGAAAGTTGGATTTTGGTTTGGCATGGTTGTGTGTATTTTGGTGGGGATGGAGATTAGTTTGACTTAATACACAGATGTGAGTTTTTATGGGCATTCAAGCAGCAGTGTTCAGCTGGAAATGCAGACCCAGCAGTCGGGAGAGTGGCTGTTACAGTAGTTTGAATATTATTTGCGTGGAGGTTGGAGCCCTCAGCCTCTGTGAGGTAACTGGGGACGACTCAAGATGGAAATATAGAGAAGAGAGGAAAGCAGCTTTACAGGAGAGATCAACGTGTAAACTGGTTTACGTAACAACGTATCATATGTTGTTTTTAAAGAGGCAGATAAATGAATCAAGAATGTTTTAAAATGACTAGAATTTTGAGTATAGTTTTGTGCTAACCATCTTAACTTTTTGAATGACTGTATACCTACCCCAACCCTCTTCCTCACAGGTAGAAGAAGAAATCCAGACTCTGTCTCAAGTGTTAGCAGCAAAAGAGAAGCACCTAACGGAGATCAAGCGGAAACTCGGGATCAATTCGCTCCAGGAACTAAAACAGAACATTGCCAAAGGGTGGCAAGATGTGACAGCCACGTCTGCGTATGTTCCCTTGATTCTACATTGTTTTAAAAATTGTAAAGGACACTTTGCCCTTTTTGTCTGGGGACGGGATCAAAAGGTACTGAGGACATTTCTGCAGCTTTTCTCTGTACTGTGCAGGGCACTGCCCGTTCCACCCCCCGTCCCCCCATTCTCAAGTGTATCTGACCCTTCTCTAACTTCAGTCTTTCAGACTGTTCTAGGGAACAGAAAGAAAACCAGCCTCATACGTGAGTTGAAGAAATACAATCTAAGCTCTAAAAACGTTATATATCGACTTACCAGATATATACATGAGTCGCTTAATCCTCAGAATAACCCAGTGGAGTGGGTAGTGAGATAGCCCTAGATAAGGAAACAGGAGCAGATAAGTTTTGAGGTCACAAACCTCTCGAAGTATGGAGGCAGGATTTGAACTCAGGTCTGGCCCAGTACAGAGCCAGTCTTTTTTTTTTTTTTACCCTGTTCTATACATACCATAAGATTCTCAGGTCACCATCTCTGATGTATGCTGGTGGCAGAGGACCACCCCTTAATCTTTTGGTCTTTTTGGTCACACGGTTTTGATCCAACATTGTCATGATGCAGTTTTGTTTCCCGACACAAGGAGGAGCAGGCTTGTAGTGACAGTCTCCGAACTGTGTTCTCTGTTCAGTCCCATCTGCTGAGCTGGTGACCAGCAGCAGTGAGGCTGACTGCATCCTGACATGACAGCACGAGGGTGACCACCTCCACTTTCTGCCCATATAAATAGTCAGTGGGAAACATGCAGGACACCATTCTTTGTATCATCATAAACTGGGTTGTTTTTTTGTTTTTAGTATTTGATCTTGACGGGGTAAGTAAAATTGCCTGAGCATTCCTTTCTACAGTGTGGGGATCTTAACCTCTTTGGTGCAAGTACCATATTCTCTCATTTTTGTTTTAGTTTTTCCCTTCACTAATCCCTGTGTAGATGGGAGGAGGGAGATGGTCAATTATACCTTTGTGCTATAGCAAATATCCCACTCAAGTCATTTGAAGTATTGTACCTTTTACGTACCCCGTTGAGAATACACTGGTCCTTATTTGATAGCTCAACAGATATGCAAAATTCAAAAAAAATCTTTATGCCCCCAAAATTGATTTGGGTAATAAAAAAGTACCCATGGGTCCTACCTTGCTTCTGGCCCCTTTTTAGGAGATAAAGTTGTGAAAGACATGTGAGGAATCTGATTTCATTTTTATTTTATTTAGCTTAAGTGGAAAAGGGAAAAAATAAAGAGACATAATTTCATTCAACCTATGGCTCATTTTGATCTTGCTCCATGACTATTTTTAGCCCTTACTCGGATTTCTTTGGCCCCGCCTTTATAGGCCTCTATCTTTCTGGCTGTCCTAGAGCACTGCAGAGGGTTGTATCTGAAATGATGGTTAAGTAAAAGATGATGTGGTGATGCTGACCTGGTGGATGTGATGATGCTGACCTGGTGGCTGTGAAGAGTTTTAGATGTTCTAAATTTTTTTTTTGAGAGTTCTCAAGAGGGTGGTCATCACTGAATTCTAAATAATGGAAAGGTTAGCTTACTTTCTTTGCTTTGTTCTTTTATAAATTAATATAGGTACAAGAAGACCTCTGAAACCTTATCTCAGGCTGGACAGAAGGCTTCAGCTGCTTTTTCATCTGTTGGATCAGTCATCACCAAAAAGCTGGAAGACGTAAAGTACGTCCTCATTTTTCCTGGCTTAATTAAGCTGAGGCAAATTAAAATCTGTTATCATGGTTGCGTTTGTTTCCTGTCTGGTTCTGGCTGATGCTGGATTCCTCTCTGTTTGAGTGAGGGAGGGCATTCCTTCAAACCAGGACCCGAAATGCTTCCCTAAATTCTTTTAGGCATAGCCTTCAACCTGATCATCTTATGAATACATTTAAGGTTGTTGAAAAATTCTGGTTGTGAATTTTGTCCTTTAAGTCGTTCTTGATCACACCGGGTAAGTATGTGTTTGCAAACCTGTGGTTGTGGGCGGAGCCTGGTGTCTGATGGGGATGAGGCCGGGAGCACCGAATCCTGCCTGCACTTCCGGGAGGTACATCTTTATCCCATGGTGTGCTTACAACATGCTCGTTTGTGCATTGCTTTGTACCATTTATGTTCCTGCCGAGGCCCAAATCTTGTTTTGAGCTGTTGCTTTTTATTTTGTATTTATATTTTCAGTGCGTCTGCAGAATTTTCCTGGCCATTTTGGTAAAACCACTTCACAGTGCTTTTGTGTCCACTCGTGCCTTGCGCCACCCACCCTGTGGATTAAAATAGTGCTGAAAATGACAAATGTGGATTAAATCGTCTGTGCTTCTGTTGGCATGAAAGATTTGTGTTTAAAAAAAACAGTCCTTCAGATTGCATGACTTCGTGTTTTCCGTTTGTGGGGAAAGTAGATTTTACAACCAGAATTTTGTTGGTTGAATAAGTTTGGCTAATTGGTATTATACTTTGTACCAAAAAAACCAAATGACTTGCTCATTGTATTTGGACTGTTATCATTTTCAACACAATGTAATAAACACAGCTCTCTTAAACCCTTTTGACAGTTATATATACTTCTCTTAGGTGCTCTCTTTTCTTTCTGTGCTGACTCGATTGTGTAGCCCTTTAGAATTCAGTTAAAACCTTACACAACTTTTAAAAAGTAGGTTCTTTAATTGTTTTAGATTTACCAGAACTTCCTTTCTTTTTTAATGCTTACTCTGGCTTCTTGCAGATTGCAAGCCTTTTCACATTCCTTTAGGTAAGGAGAGTTTGAACCGTCACTGCAGCCTAGCTCTCGTTTGAGACAAGTGTGCTTAGATTATGATGCCACATTGGATGGTTGTGTTTGTCCACTATGTAATTTTCTTGCCTTTTGGAATATCTTTTCTCTGGTGCATTCCTATTTTCAAGGGAGGGTTTCTTGTATACCATGGGTAATGGATACATTAAAAGAAGAATAATTTGACACTGTGGTTCAAAGGGATATGGAAATGATTTTGACATTTTCCTCTTTTTTTTGGTAAAAAGAAGCAGCTTTACCATGGCATGCAGAATTCCTCCCTTTTAATGTCTGACTTTGTTTGTTTGTTTTTTGATGCTTTAATTTCTTTGGTGCCTTTGTCAGGATGTTGGAATCCTCCTTCACCTGGGTCCCATTATGCAGTTGTAATAGACAGCATATGTACTGTCTCACAGTGTTAGTCTTCTGTCCTGTACAGGTTACTCTGATATTTTTTTATTGCAGTAAAATATGCCTAAGATATATACCAAATATACCATGACTCAGCACGTTTTAGTACTTGTTTTATTAGCTTATAGTGTTTATACTATTTTATTATTTCGTTACACTGGTTGTATTCTATAATTATGCACACAAGAACATTTCATGGTTGCAAAAGGAAAAATAAAGTATATTAGGCCAAAAAAGAACGTACATTAAAAAGATGTCAGCCCAAACCAGGCCTTATAGAAGGAATCTTTGTGATATTGAGCAAACCTCTCCTCTCTCTCCCATACAGACTCTCTGATTATCCTATTAGTAGTCAGAGAAAACTAAGGTGGAGGAAGGTCTTTTGAGTGTAAGCAGGAAGGATAATATACTAGTCTCCATCTCTGTTCCTATTAATGTGAATTGTCTTCTCAAGCGGTCACTTGCTGTGGCCTAGCATTGTGCCTTCTTAAGTAATCACATAGGTACTTATAGCTGAGGCTCTCTCTTAATGACACTTAGCCCTGAAAGTCAATAAATCATGGGGATAAACAAAGTCTAAGTGTTGAACTATTTTTTTTAATATTTATTTATTTGGTTGTACTGGGTCTTAGTTGTGGCAGGTGGGCTTCTTAGTTGTAGCTCACAGGCTCCTTAGTTGCGGCTCTCTAGATCCTTAGTTGAGGCACGTGGGCTCCTCAGTTGTGGCATGTGAACTCTTAGTTGCAGCATGCATGTGGGATCTAGTTCCCTGACCAGGGATTGAACCTGGGTCCTTCGCATTGGGAGCATGGAGCCTTATCCACTGTACCACCAGGGAAGTCCCTAAGTGTTGAACTATTTAAAGTTTAAAATTGTGCTAAAAAACCCAAGAAATCAGCGATAGGAATTGATTTTGTATCTTTGGTGTTCAATTGAAAATGGCCTAAGTGCTTTAGGAAACTGTTAAAAGACAGTTTTATCTAAAGTTATCTGAGTTGTGTGAGGATGTATTCACTCACATAATCCATTCTGCTAACATTAAGGTGCCTATCGTGGACAGGTCTAAAGGATGTAACCCAGACCAGACACGGTTCTTGTTCAGAAAGAGCTTGAAATCTTTGAGTGGATGGAGTGGGGGAGGGAAGTAGGGCCTGGGAATGAGTTAAGAAGGGAAGAGCCCTGTTAATACCTGATTATAAAACAACGTTAGGTGTAAACAAAAATATAAAACTTCGTAAGTGCTGTTGAGGAATGATATTTTCTGTACCTTTGAGAAGATTAAGCAGATGTACATAAGTATGGCTCAGTATGTTCTGTCTTTTTAATTCACCAGAAATAGAGTTGGGCGGCTCTTTTCTAGCTGCTTACACAGTCACTTTTTTTCATTTCATTTAAAAAATGCAATTGAGATTATATGCTATCATTTTCAGTCTGGTTGTCAATGAACAATATATTGCGTATCAATACAAGCAGGTTAAAGTAAGGCTTTATATTGTAATTTAGAAATGGGAGATATAACATTATCTTTCGAGAACTAAATTTTGGAATTATTTCTTACAGATTAAAAGTTGGATAAAGTCACTTTAAAAAATCATTTCTAGGGCTTCCCTGGTGGCGCAGTGAGTCCACCTGCCAATGCAGGGGACACGGGTTCCCGGTCCGGGAAGATCCCACGTGCCGCGGAGCGGCTGGGCCCGTGAGCCATGGCCGCTGAGCCTGCGTGTCCAGAGCTTGTGCTCCGCAGTGGGAGAGGCCACAACAGTGAGAAGCCCGCGTACCGCAAAAAAAAAAAAAAAAAAAAATCATTTGTAGATCAAGATGTCCTGATTGTAATCTGATTTAATGGGTTCATATGTAATAGAAACTATATGGAAACATATAATAGAAGTATATAAAAACATATACAATAGAAAACATAAGGAAACCCCACATCTTTTAGATGAGTGAGTCACAGAGGCAAACACTGGCCACATGCCCCCAAGAGCTGTGCAAGGAGAGGAGCTTGAGCAGCAGATTTGAGCGTTTCCATTCCAGCAGCAAGGCCTTTCCTCCCATGGAGATGGATGCAGGGGGCCCCTTTTTGCAAGTGCTTGAATTAGTTGGGTAATCTTGTTAACTACCCTTTGTTCCGAGTCCATGCTAACCCAGCAGACTTGTGGCAATGATTTCGCTCTCTGATGGAATTGCGGATATTTTGCTGACTTGAATAGTCAGCGACAGTTTTAATTGTACTACATTATCAATGAATAAGTTAGCACTTGGGATATAGATATTTGCTGTATGCCTTGGGTGGGTGAGTAAGGAAGAGGAAGAGGAAGGGAGGGTAGGGGAGAAGGGGAGGGAGAGGGGGAGAGAGAAGGAGGGAGAGGGAGAGACAGAGACAGAGATAGAGATGTCTATTTTTGACGCCCTGACAATTAGGTGTCAGCGGCAGGGAAGCCAAAGGAGGCCCTTTGGGGACAGACAGCTTTTCCCCAGGTGGTATGTTCATAGTCACTCCTCTCCTGTTGGCTTGTTTTCTACACATACATGGCAAACGCTGACTCATGCCTTTACTTTTTTTTGAGAGAAACTTTAAAAGAGCCTTCTCATTTCACGTGCTGTCAGTGTAAACATGAATTTTCATGTTATTAATAGCATGCTCTAATAATTCAGTAGCCTCATTAGTCAAATATTTCTGATATATTTAGGAGGAAATATAATTAACTTTGCCTTTATCTTCAAAGGAAATTTCACCTTTTTTTTTGCGGTACGCGGGCCTCTCACTGTTGTGGCCTCTCCCGTTGCGGAGCACAGGCTCCAGACGCGCAGGCTTAGCGGCCATGGCTCACGGGCCCAGCCGCTCCGCGGCATGTGGGATCTTCCCGGACCGGGGCACGAACCCGTGTCCCCTGCATCGGCAGGCGGACTCTCAACCACTGCACCACCAGGGAAGCCCATCCTTTTGACGTGTGTTTCTTCCCGTAAACCTCTAGATATTTTGTTGTTGTTGTTGGTTTCGGACTCATGAAAGTCATTCCAGATAATTCCATTTTGCTGAAAATTAAAAAAAAAAAACAAACAACTTCTACCACTTAATGGGAAAAGAAATGACCTCTTTTCTCTTGCTGTAATAGAGTACCTTTTGATTTGAATTTGAAAAGCTTTAATGAACTTTTCTACCTTTTATGCCCATATTTCCTAATTTTAGTTACTGCAATTATTTATTCATTCTTTCATTCAAAAGTATTTATTGAATGGCAGCTTTGTGCCAGGCACTGTTCTAGACTCTAGGGTTCAAGTTACCAACCAAAATAATAGCTGGGTGAAATTTGAAAGCTTTAAAGAAAATAATATAAAATGAAATAAATATTAATGTGTGTTTCAGTTAAAGCCATCTGTAACAATAAGAATGGTGAACTGTGTTTCAGGCATGACTATGTATAGCAGGTGCTATTATTTGTCTGATTTTACAGGTGAGGAAAACTGAGACACAGAGAGGTTAAGTGACTTCCTCAAAGTCACA